GACATATAAGTGGGAAAGATGACATTGAAGTGTGCAGGGATCAGTTCACTTCAGACTGTATGAGCTTGTTAGGAAGCTTAATTTTATCTTTCAAAATGGGGGGGTGGATCACAAGTTTAATTAGGAAAGTAAAGCAATCAAATGTATTTTTAGGAAGATCACACTGATAGTGCAGAAACAAAGGGAGATTAGAGAGGGATTCATTTCTATAAACTCTAGCACTCTGGAATGAAGATTTAGAGTCTGCATTTAGGTTTTTTGTACTGAGCTTCTGCTGGTTTTGCCTGTTCAACATCAGTCCCGTTTCATCTGGGAATAGCATCTTGATTTTCCTTTTGGTACAGTATCTGTTTCTCAAGGGTTGTGATTCTGTTGAGACTGTCAGTACAAATATATTCTCTTCCACAAAAGAGTGGGAATGTAAGCCACATTAAACCAGTTAACATTTCTGGAATCTGAGATTTGAAATGAGTGACACAAAGATTAGAGCTGATTCATCTCTATTGGCCTCTGATGCTTACTAGTGTCTGCTGCCTGGGTCGCCAGATACCCAGGTTCCAACCCTTTCCTAGGTGCTTAACTTTAAAAAAAAGTCTGAGTGCTAGTCATGTTTTTCAAAACTCAGCCTTTACCACTTATTAGCCAGAGTTGACTTCTGTTGGCTTGCAACCAAAGAACCTTAACAGGTACAGCATTATATCCCAAACTTGACTGGACATAAACATCATCTAAGGTAAGTAAAGTATGTACTTATAGATTCTATAATCACTGAACAGAAACTCTGGAAAAAGACTTTGAAATTTTCTCTATTAAGTTTTAATAACCACATGAATTTGTCAAATATTGAAACGGCAAAGATTATGGGAAAAGAAAAAGAAATGACTGACAAATGCAGTTTAGACGTGGTGAATAGGGAAAAGGGACCTGACTTGAGTGACTGTGAGGATGGTGGTGTTATGAAACCTGAGGAGAAGAATGCTTACGGGGCAGAGTGGATTTAGTTTTGGGGATATGTAGATTTTTAGATACTTCAGAACATTTAAGGGAAAACGGGAGCTAGTAAGTTGTTTTGCCACTCACAAGATGTGTAACATTGAACAAAATAACAAGTTTCTTTGTATAATGGGGATAGCAACAACAATAATATCACACATTGGGTTTTAATGGCACTTAATATAAAACCCTTAGAAATATGTCTGGTACACAGAATGTGATAGGTACTACCTAGGAGTTAATGAGATGAGTGAAACAAAGTCAGATATAAAGGTCTGTAATTTAGGGTAGAAGTTCTGGCAGGAGATGAAATCTTGTGAGTTATGATCCTAGAGGGAGTGTTTGAAGTCACAGAAATAAGTGATCAAAGAATAAATGTAATATATAAAAAACAGAAGGAGCCCTACTTTGTGGACTTTTTCTCTCATTTCAACCTATCAAAATTCTTCAATTACCATGTTTCATCAACTCTACAATAACTTCTACCCCAATTTTTAACATCCGTGAAAGAGGGATGCCTCTTACCATCAAAAACATGTCATAATTTAATTATCAGAGTTCTTTTTGTAGTGGCATAGGAAACAGTGGTGTATCTTTAAATTGACAGCGTCTTAGATTTGATGGATTTGATGAGACATCTGAGAAGTGTGGTCTCTCTTCTTTGAACCTCCAGGACACCCTGTATGAGCCTCTCCTTTAATGTTTATTTTGGTCTGCCCTCTATTAGAGTTGTCCATCAACTTTTTGACTACAAGGTCCCTAAGTCAAGAAGTCCTCAACTCTCCTTTTTTGTATCTCTGAGACTACATAAATGCATCTGTCTGAAGATGGAACTAAATAAAAATTTCTTGGATTAAATTGACCTCCAAAGCAGCTCAAAAATTATTTTTGGGATTTCTGATATTTTGCAATTAGCCTCCTTGCTGTTCCCATCTCTTAGCTAATTCGATGTACATAAGTGCATACTTGTTTTGGGTTACTAATATACTTGATTCAAAAAAAGCATCCGTCATTTTAATTCTCCAGGTAGTTAATAACATGAACTTCTTCAAGAAAACATATTCAGGCACTCCTGGAAATACTTAAAATAGGGTGAGAATGTTTCCTGTAAAATTATACGAGAACAGAGAACAAATGTTCACACACATTAATCATTAACTTGTAATTGCAGTAGTTGCAGATTCTTTCTGAACTATCTGTTTGCATTGTGTTCTTTCTACCTGTTAAGCAAGCTCTATTCCTTTCCCTGATTATATGTAGGACTTTGTGAGCCTATTACATGTATCTTCAATATCCCAGGATCTCCAGAGACAAAAAATGTTCAGACATGCATCATAATTGAACTAAAGGGCTCACCTTACTAAGCATACACAGAATGTAGGTGACATCTTTGGCAATGTTCAAGGAAATCTTTCTATTACAGTCTATTACAGCTGAATTTTCTAACAGCCTTCTCTCTATCACTTCTGGCTCTGACATCACATGGTTTATGACCTAATCTCACTAATCACATCCTGGATCCTCAGATCACATGGAATCATTAGCCTCCCCTCTTTTTCAGGGCCACAGATCATTAAAGAATCTTTAGTGTCACAATTGGAATGAGAAACGTAATTCCTGACACCCAGTGATTGCTATTTTGTTTTTTCTTTTTTTCTCTAGGACTTTTCCCATGCTGGGTGGGAGTTGCTTTTCATCCATACTGGGACTACCTTTCTGTAGCTGCACAGCTAAAGTGTCTTTGTCAGGTTGGTCTTCTAGCCCCTGTTTCTTCCTGTTGTATACAGTCTGCCATCTTGGTCTGGTTCACTGATTACTTTCTCTTCCACAAAACTCACCAAGGACTCAAAGGTACTTTATGTGAGTACTCAGGGGTAATTAGATGGGGCTATGAGACTGTAATGATAACTAAGGCAACATATGGCATTTTAGTCCCATACTGCTTTTTTTTCTATAATCTCAAGAGGAATTTGCTGTGCCCAAGATGCAGATTCTTCCTGTCCTCTAAACTTACCTTTCTTGGCTTCCTAGCTCCTCTCTGTAGGTTTCTAATCAGTTCAGGCTATTCACCAGCATCCAGATTCCCCACGTACTCAAGCTCTCTTAATTTTTCTCCTAGTGTTTACCTAAGCCTGGAATTTTCTTCTATACTCTTTGCCCATTGAAATCTCACTCATTCATCCATGCCTGACCTAATAGCACCTCCTTTATGAAGTCTTTTAGTCTTCCCTTGAAAACAATTTTCTTTCTTTATTGTCCTGTAGGACAATTGTGTTGTTGAGTCTGTAGTTACTATATTGTGTTTTGAGTACTTATTTGTAAGTATTATAACATTTTAATAATAGTATTTCAATATTTAATTCTCCATAAAATTTTTAAGTTTTATCTGGTTGTGTTGGTGTATACCTGTAATCCCAGCATTGAGATGCTGAGGCAGGAAGACAGCAGAGAGTTTGACACCAACTTGGGCTACATAGTAAGTTTGAGGTCAGCCTGAACTACATAATGAGACCCTGTTTCAAAACAAAAACAGCAAAATTAAGTTTCGTAGCCAGAGATCACAACTGACTCCTTGCATCACCTAGACAAAGAAGCCTATGTTATGGTTTGTGTCTAGGTGTCCCCCAAAAGCCTCATTCAGTCTTAGAGCTTTTTCAGAGATGATTGAATCCAGAGTGTTTTACACTGGGATTAAGGATGTATGACTGGTTTGGCATCACCCTCAGCCTGAAGGCCAAGATAGAGTATAAAGTGGGCAGAAAGATAATGTTAAGGTGGGTTGTTGATTTTGCTGTCTTCTGTCTACCAAGAACTGTTCTCTTCTGCAAAACCACGCTATCTGGGAACCAGCTGATTATGGACTGAAACCTTTACAAACTATGAGCTAAATAAGTCTTTCCTCCCTTAGCTTTGGGCATTGGGTATATTGTCTCAGCAATAAGAAAATTAACTAAAGCAGAACGTTTATGAAACATATGATTATATGCAAAACAAAGAGTGTTTATAAAGATACAAGTATCATAAAGTTAAGTGGTAGTTCAAAAAATTAAGTTGAATAACTAAAAACCTTAGCAATTTTGACTTCTCTCAGATTAACAGGGAAGTCTGTCAGTTGTGAAGGAAAGCACACTGGCCTAAGAATTCAGAGATCTGGGTGTTCATTTTGGTTCAGGCTTGTGTGTGTCATGTTTTCTGTCTTGCTTAGTTTCTTCATAGCTGAGAGAAGGCTATTGCTCCAGCCCAGTATTTCTGAATCCTGAATTTTTCAGTATCTGTACAATAACTTTGTTTTATTTGCTTAATAGAAAATAGAGTCCTAAAGGCTCTAAAATTTTCCCTGGGGAAGTTATACTCTTCCTCTTGAGCCGTTTAGCAAAACACTAAATGAATCTTTAATGGAGAATGATTCGGCAGTAGTTCCAGGGATCTGAATGTAACTTAATAAGAATTCCAGTGCCTCTAATGACTGGGATTTTACCTTCTTTATGCCTCCCCACTGAGCATAGTGCAGTGTGCACTTTATGTCTTTTGTGTAGTCTGTGCTTTCCTGCAGGGCCCTGTATGTGTTTGCCTGGCCAGATCTCCCCTCTGAGGGCTCTTTATGTTTGCACACTCAGCTTGTCCTGTGGACTTTTCTCACTAAACTCCCCTTTGAGTGCTGTATATTTTGGCACAGTCCAGTTCTCTAAGGGATTCTTTTCTCCATTAACACCTCTTCTCTTGTACTTATAGAAAAGTCTTTTCTGCCCTTGCCTTTAGCAAATAAGCCCACATTTTATTGTTCTTAACTGATCATGTATGTATTTCTATTTATTTTCCATATTTTCTACAATGAACACATATGAAATTTTACACATTTTAGTTTAAAAAATGTGAAGAGAACATCAGGTCACAGATAATGGAATAAGCGCATTTAAACTTTATTCTCTGCTTTGAAATTCGTTTGACAACAACAACAAAAAAGAAAATTAGCGAGAATAAATCCTATTATCAGTGAAATATGAAAAGAGCCACAGTGTCAAGCGCCATAATCACAAAGCATACGTAACAAGTGCTAGGCTTCTTGAGGTAGAATAAAAGCTCTTAAAAGAGTCACAGATTTGACAGTAAATTTTGTTAGTACTAAGAAATCTAGGGCCATAAGTGGACCACCAGAGAAAATGGGTAGTGTCCCCATAGAGATGTAGTTCCTCATTACAAAAAAAGAAACCATGCTGACCTCCCACTTTTGTTGTTTACCACATGCACTTCTAGGCAAGAAAGAATGGTGATGATAAAGAGAGGGATGAGCTCATCAAGTACCAACACAGGTGTGATTCTAAAGGAAATTGCTGGGAGCTGTGCTAACCTCAGGAATGCAGAGATCTAGGGCACAGGAAATATAAACTTGGTGGAAACAGGTATGAACAACAAATCCTAATAGAAATACTATACTGATTCCATATACATATTTGTTGAGAAAATAGATCTCTCCATTCAAGAATGAGTGCTAACCAGAATAGAAGAAATAAAACTGTTAGCAGGAAGCACTTGAGCTGCTAAGCTAAATCCCCAGCCTTATAAAACATTATTGAGAGGAACTAAGAAATCTAAACAAATGAAAAGGTTTACCATTGAAGACAATGTTGTAAAAACACCAATTTGCCATAACTTAAACTACAAATTCAGTGAAATTGCTGTCAAAAATTCTGCAGTTTTTTTCCCCCAGAAAACAGTGAACCGGTGCTAGAATTTATATGGCAATGCAAAATATCAAAAAGGATCCAAGGTAATTTTGAAGAAGGAAAACAAAGCTGGAAGAGACTTATACCACTAGATATGAAGAGCTGTTATACAACTATGGTAATTAAGACATTGAGTAAGAATAAACAAACAGAAAAATGAAACATAACCCAGAATTGAGAGGCAGATCCTCATATGTATAATAATCTGATTTATGACCAAGGCATCATTGCAGTACATAGGAGGATGTTGAGCCAGTTGAATGTTCATATGGAAAAATGTTTATTGACTCCTACCTCACACTATACAAAAATAATTCCAGATGTATTTCAGGTATAGATATAAGAGACAAAACAAGAACATCTTTGTGCCAGAGTTTTCAAATATTTCTTAAATAAGATAAAAGCAGTTTTAAAACAAAACCGATAAACTGGATGATATTAAACTTAACATTATGTTTTTTTTAAAAGATACCACTGAAGGATAGAAAAGGTAAGTGACTGGTGGAGAGGAAGAAAATATTCATAGCGTAAGTATTTGTCAAAAGATTCACATATAGTATAAATAAAGACAAGGGCAAATGAATTAATAGAAACATAGCCAAAAACATAATCAATACATCATAAAATGATTAGCCAATGGCAAATGAACATAGGAGAAGGTACTTGATTTTATTAGTCATTGGGCAAAATAAATCAAAGCACCACCACTACAAACCCATGAGAGGGCCTAAAATGCAAAAAAAGGAGTTGAGAAACTGGAACTTTCATGCACTATTGGTAGGAATGTAAATGTGTAAAAGCAATTTGGTGGTATCTGTTAAAGTTGAACATATACATATTCTATGATTTTACTACTTCATTCCTAGATGCATACTCAATATATTCTCATGTTTATTAAAAGACATCTAGTAGCTGTTTCTGGGCACACTAGGTGTAATTACTAAAACACTAAAATTCTAAATGTTCACAGCCAGTATAATGCATCTATAAATTGTAGTACAGTCACAAAGTTGACTGCTATGCAATTGTCAGAATGAGCAGTCCATGATTATACCTCAAAATAAGAATGTTTCACATAAACATAATTTAATGTTGACTGGAAAAGCCTAGATGCACAAAAAATTAAATACTTTATGATCCCAGCAGAGCTGCTGACCAGTTGATCAGCCTCATTGTAGACAAGGCCAATGCCCAGGGACAGAAGGTAAGCCCAGAGGGTCACCAGACAAAATGAGAAAGTATGGACATGGCCAGCAGTGCTAACCTCAAGAAAATCCCATATGTACTATTAACTATAAAAACAGTGTGGGGTTTACACTGAAAGAGACTCCTTCACGGTGGGTAGAATTGGAAAAGAAGCCAGTAGAATGCCTGCCGTATTACTAGAGAGTGTTTCACTGGGTGACACTTTGGGAAAGAGTTAATTATTTAAGACCGAGCCACAGAACAACTGTAGAACAATTCCACTTCATGGTTTACTGTGTTATCTTCTCACAATGACTGAGTGAGAGACAACCATGGGAGACAGCTGTGGAAAGGGTATGGGCTAGACATAGAACTCCTGAAAAGTTTATGTTCATGCCAGGAAGGACATAAGCTCTCCCTTCTGTATTGAGAAACCAGGCCTGACCAATGTGGCTGTCCAAGGAGCAGGATCTGAAAGGGCTGATATTATGTCCACTAGTCTACTTTTAATTCCTGGCATGTGGCCTACATCCAGAAGATAACAGTAGACTGATTACTTCCCTTTCCACCAACATGAGTAAGAATACTTCTTGCCTTGGACAGTTGCCACAATCTAGGGTATACAGATGGAGGACACACAGCAGAAGAGGGGACACCTCACAAACCCACAGGTGATAAAGGTGGAGAAATTGTGACTTGCTAGATTCCAACATAGCAGACACTAGGAAAAAAACACTCAGTCAAAATTATAGAAGATTTTTTTGGGAGGATTCAAATTTTTATATTTTTTCCTTCTTTTACCTTCATTGGTTTCTGGGGGTTTGGAGTATTTTCTCCTTTTCTGTCTTTTCTCCTTTTAACTCTTTTCCTTCTTTCTTATTTTTCTTTTTCTTGTTTATTCATTTCTGTTATTTTGATTTTATACTATTATTTCCTTTTATTCCTCAATAGGATCCTTTATCTGACTTTGTTCTCCACTGTCTCGTCTCCCATAATTAATTTTTCAAAATTTACTTTACTTATTTTCTGTTTCTCCACCCCTCTATCTTTGCTAAAATAACCATTAGGCATTACAAATGCAAATTAAAACAGCTATGAAAATTCATCTTACTCCTGAAAGAATGATTATTATCAAGAAATCAAATAGTAACAAATCCTGGCAAGGTTGCAAGGAAAAAGAAACACTTCTACACTGTAGGGAGGAATATAAAGTAAGATAACCATTATTGGAGTCCATATGGAGATTCCTCAGAACACTAAAACTAGAAATTCCCTTCAATCAAGTTACTCCTCTTTTAGGTATCTTCCTGAAATAGTTAAAGACATCACACTACAGTGATACATGAATATGTATGTTTATAGCAGCACAACCCCTAATAACCAAATCTTAGAAGCAGCTTATATGTCTATCAACAGAAGACTGGATAAAGAAAATATGATGTTTATACACAATGGGGTAGTACTTTGTCATAAAGAAGAATAAACTTGAATTGTTTGTAGGAAAATGGGTGTACTATCAGATCACAATATTAGGTGAAATAAATCAGACACACAAGTTTAAATATGACATGGTTTCTCTCAATGAGAAGCTCAAAATATAAACAAAGAATAAAGTAAAAATAAGTAATAGGAAACAGGGGAATAAAACTTTTACAAAAGGGAAAAGAACTAAGAAATGCAGGGGTAGGGAGAGGAGGGAAAGCAGATGAAAAAAGGAATTGTATGTGTTATATGCACACACCAACATCCCATGAAGAATGTAATCAGTATGTACTGCAAGCATGTACTAATAAAAAATAAAAATTATTTTAAAAATTTGAAGCTTTGTCCATGGTAGATTACCTCCAAGAGCCCTCTGGACCTGTGCAGAGGTCATGTCCTTAGATGGGGTCTGTAGCACTTTATATCAACTTTGCTTATTAATATTCTCTGTGTAGATCTTATGAACATTTGAGTTTGTGTTTCTAGGAACGAAAACAGTTCTTTCTACTGGTTCACTACTGGTTCATTAGCTCAAGTCTGAGTCCTTAGAATGGAGATCATTTTCTTCCCTGTGTACTTTCCTCTAACTCCTATTGTCCTCTATGACCAAACTCTACTTTCACTGTAACTGTACCTCAGTATACGCTCCGGGCATGTTGCCCTGAAGCCTTCTCTTCCTGCCTGTGCTGACACTCATCTGACTATGTCTGTCCTTACCCCACCCCAGTTCCTTTTTCTGCCCCACTTATCCACATCCCTATTCTATTAATCCTTCTGTCCACTGATTCAGCAAACATTTATCGAGGACCTATCATGTGCCAGACTCTGTATCAGGAGTCAGTGAATGAAGGATAATCTTTATTCCTGAAAGGCCTGTCCTCTGAGGGCAAGGAAAGACAACCTGGGAAAGTCATTTTACAGGGAAAACATTATAAGAATCTGGCACATCTGAGACAATTCTGTCTGAGAAGAGAGTGTAGGGCTTCTGCAGTGTTCTTGTGGAAGAGATGATTTGGGAGTTACATTCTGAAGTGTTAGCTATTTGGATTTGGATAAACTGAGAATAGCAATAATTATTCCACACAAAGACTGGACTCTGTTTCAATAATAGAAGGTACTTCAGTGTGGCTGGATAAAAAGGGGAACAGTGGAAAGTAAAGGTGAAAAATGAAGCTGGGGTCAGGACTTCATTAAATAAGTAGAGTTAACAATTGAGTACTGGAGGGATAAACAATCTGTGTTATCTATGCTCATTTCTCCATTCTCTTTAACCCCTGTTAAGCTTTGCTAACATTACTGCCAAATTTCATTCCCTAATGTTGATAATTTCCTCCAAGCAGCATAGCAGAGCCTGGGTTCCAGGAATATGGTCACCACCTACTGCTTTCTTCCCTGCTCATTTGCTGGTAAGCTAACATTCTTCTTAAAATGTGACCAGATAAGCTGCCTTCTCTCAACCAGATCATTGCAGTAAGCACTGGAGGAAGGGGTGAAGTCACACTGAGCTTGTCACTTGCCTAAGACACATCTCACAGATGGTCCTGTGCCCTGTCCTCCTAATCTCCTGTTGAAACCTGAGTATCTCAAGCTCAAAGCCCAAAGACTTCTGTTTTGTCATAGGCCCCTTTCTTCTTTCTCATAGATTTCTTTTCCACCGAGTATATTACCTTAGTCCACCAAGTGTACTTCACAGAGCATATTTTTCTTAGTCCACTAAGAGAGGATAATGCCTCCCTTAATGCAAACAACTTCACAGCTGACAGTCATTCACAATGTACAAAATATTTGATACTGTTCAAGTATTTGATTTTCACATGAATCCTTCAAAACAGTATGGAAAATCATTGATCAGGTCTTCTGACTTCAAATCCACTAGTTCATTCTTGTACATAATAGTAATATTTGATATATCACATATTTGTTATATGAACAATTAAATGATTCTATGTGATTTTCAATCTCTGTTAAGAATTAGTGTTTTATACTTTATTCTATTTCTCTTTTTCTTATTTGGATAATCTGATTTTATATGAAGCATGGTGTGGAACTTGTAATTTTAAGATAATCTTCCTTAACCTATCACATAACTAGTTCTGCTATTCTGGCCCTATAAAGTAATAGAGGCAGGATGATCTCAAGTTCAAAACCAGCTTGGGCAACCTAAAGACTTAACAAGGTGTTGTCTTAAAATAAAAAAAGTAAAAAGGATAAGGAAGCAGCTCAGTATAAAAGCCCTGAGTTCAATTCCCAGCACCACAAAACAAAACAAACAAAACAAGAAACTTTAAAAAAAATATACAGTAAAGTCTTGGATTGTAAGTAACTTGTTCTGTAGGTGTTCCGCAAAATGAGCAAATTAAAATTCTAATAAATTTTAACTTGATAAGTAAGTGATGTCTTGCAATATGTATAGGATGTAATGCTGAATGTTACATGATCACAACTGAGCTAGTACTTCTTCTTTCTACCCTCATCTCTTGCTCTCTTTCTCATTGTGGTATTGTGGTGATTGTTTTCCAACAGGAAGAGGTTATAGAAAAGTTCTCGTGGGCAGAGAAAGAGGAAAAAAAGACAGGAATCCCTCACTTCAAATGAGATTAGAGAAAGTTGGGCATGGTGAGGTATGCTCAATCCCGGCATAGAGGAGAGTGAGCCGGAGGAGTTAAGGCCAGCCTGAGCTACAAGTCAGTCATAGTGGGTCTTTGTCTGGGGGAGGGGCAGGGAGTAGAGGTTAGAGAGACGTATAAATGTGGGAAACAGTGCAAACTTTTGTAGAAAAGCATGGTGGAATAAGACTGCAAGTAATGAAGCTATTTAATAATAATGCAATGTCATATTTCTGCAAAATTCTCAAAAGGAGTCAAAAGCAAGTGTCTTTGGCTAGGTTTCTTTTTAAAGCTGAATGAAAAGGAAAAGATTCTATTGAGCCAATAGATAATAGATAGCAGTGACTCTGTTAGTGATAGTGAAAGTCATCCTCCACAATAACCCTCCTCTCTCTTGTCTCCCTCACAACAGCCACAAAGGTTTTCAAAGGTAAAGTAAGTTTATTTTTCTTATATTTTTGTATTATAGCATTGTAATCATTTTTGTATGAACTTTTTTGGGTTGTAAAGTGAATCATCTGAGTTTCTATTATATCTCATGGGGAAATTTGCTTTGATACAAGTGCTTTGGATTACAGACATGTTTCTGGTGAATTATATTTGTAAACCAAGGTTTTGCTGTGTACCCTTCAAAAGGCTACTGGTAGAGTTATCACATGACTCAGCAATTTAACTTTTAGATATATGCTTTAGAGAAATAATAACCTAGTTCTTACATAGACATGAATGTGAATGTTCCTACTAGCCAAAAAGTGGACACAACTCAAAATGTTCACCAACTCATGGATGAAAAAATAAAATGTGACCATATAATGTAATGGAATGTTATTCTTCAATAAAAATAAATGAAGTAAAATACATTACAACATGGACAAATGTAGAAAACATTAAGGTAAGTCAAATAAGTCATTAATAAAAGACCATACATTAAAAATTTAATTAATATGATTTGGCCAACAAGTATAGTATTGGTTTCCTGGGGCAGGGATAGTTGGAGATAGACAGGTTGTAAGTGCTAACAATTAAGAGCTTTCTTTCAGGTTGATGAAAATGTCCTGAAAATGAGTATGCAAATGTGAATATATCAATTTGCTAATTACATATTTTAAATAGGTGAGTTGTAGGTCATGTAAATTATACTTTATTTATAAGTAACATAACTTGCAAATAAAGCTGTGAGAAAAATTTAGAAACTAAAAAACTATATAAATAAATTACCCATTGTTCTGCTACAAAGAGATGACCACTGTGGACATCTTATTTATTTTTAAAATATACATAATTTCCTTACCAAAAAAAGTTAAAAACTGACAGAATGCAACATCCAAAAAACCAAAATTTACAACTATATTTGTACTTCTTTCCAACTGTACAAGTTGGATATGATACAAGGTACCAGACATTAAAGAAACCATCAAATAGGAACATCTAACATCAAAATTTAACTATACATAGTAGCCCGTCAGAAAGCTACAATCGGAATGCTTTTTAAAAAATATTTTCTTTATAAAAAATTTCTTCAGCTATACAAAAATCTATCCAGGTTTTGTATTAAAACTAATTTGAGCTGCACCTGAATTCACTTTGTTAGCAAAACAACTGCCTGAGAGCACACACACATGTCCATGTGTCATTACAGGATTGGCACTTACTCTTCACTTCATCCTTATCTGTATCTTACTCCTCTTCCCTCCCCCTCTTCTCCTCCTTCTCCTCCTCTTCTTCCTCCTCCTCCTCCTCCCCCTCCTTCTTTGCTTGATTGGTCTATCTGAACCCTTTCTTGTTTGTCCATTTTTGCCCTTGGCAAAGGATGCAGCAGTATCCTTTTCCTATTTCTCCTTTAGCTTAGCTAAAGTTTTTTCTATCTTTGTGGGTGTTTATTCTTTGACTGCTCAAAGCATAATTCACGCAATTATTCACCTACTTTCACATAGTAGTTCCAGTGGAGAGACCTGGGTGTTCACTTTTGATGTTTAGAGAATGTTCAGGTAAAACAGGAAGAAGGTAGAACACTGGATTATTTTTTTTTCTGATCACCTTTGAGAGAAACAAAAATTTGTTCCCCATCATAGTGAACTTTGTCACTTTTTTCTGTATCTTCAAACTTTTATGTATCCTTTGCAGAGATGGTCTTGCATTTCTCCAAATACTTCTTTGTTGAATTTGGCGAAATTGACAGAAAAGTAATGTTTTTTTCTAGTTCATTTCTTGGAAGGTCTGCACAAAGAACATGTACAGGGACATTTTGTCTCTTGGTGAGGTCTCTTTTACTCATGGTAACAGAGCTGTGCATCTCTGGTTTGAGTTTTTCCTCAGTCTGGCAGTTTGGCTAAATCTGACAGAGAAACTTTCTTCCTAGGATCTGGTGTGAATTCAACATTTTAACTGTGTAATATTTCCTTCTTATCCTCTTTCTGTACATCCACATGCACAGGCACATATGCAGATACACATACCTAAGTTGGGCCATTTTTACACACTTGTTTAGCTTCATATTAATCACAGATACTTTTCCAGAAATGCTAAAGGCAGGGCCCCTAGAGTCAGACAGGATTCCTAGGTGGGAATCCTGCTCCTGTTCTTGATTTACTATGAAGCCTGAGAAAACTTGAAACTTTTCAAAATGCCTCCTTTCTTTAACTGTAAAGCAGAACTATTGACACCTATCTTCCCTAGATACCATAAAGAGTAAATGCAAAATTTAATACATATTAGTTTCCTTGGTTTTGTTTTCCTCGATTGCAAGGAAAACTACTTCACTAGTAGCAGCTAAGATGGACTTAAAGTTAGTTTTGTTTTGTGTTCTCTCCACCATCATCATTTAAACTGCAGTGTTATCCTTTTTCCAGAAGTACGCTGCATAGTGGTTTAGAGCATATGCTCTATATTCAAACTGTATCTGCCATTAACATGAGTGAATTATGTATCCCTTTGTAACTCAGTTTTCTTATCTGTAAATATATTCAACAGTAGTTCTAAATCTACAGAATCTTTTCAGGATGGCCACGTTCATATAAGTAATAAAGAATCTAAGATATTGCTAACTATTGTTACAATTTGCTTTTTTAGTATTCTACATGTATATTTTTCTTTCAAATTTGTAATTGTTCAAGAATTTCTTAACTACAGTGTTTTTTTTTCTTACAATCTGAAGCAGAATTTTACTAGCTACAACTCACAATGATTGCTCATCTACATCCACCAGCCCACAGCATAAAGCAATTTTTGTTTGGCAAATTAAGTAGTTAAGAATGTTGTTTCCATTAATTTTACTACCTACGTACCTCCTGGAGGCAGGGCAAGGCAGTCTAGCTAAACCAAACCAAACAAAGCATTTTAGGGGTTTATAACTGAATGCTTCTTTGCAGTTGTTCTAAATCATCTTAGCCAGATGGGCATGTTTTAAATATTTCCAAGGAAAAAAATTTCACAGGCTTTCTCAGTAACCTGACTTAATGTTTCCAACCCTTACTGAAAGTTTCTCCAGAAAATTTAATGTTTGGTCAACTCTACAATTTATCATCTCAACTAGGACATTTAATAATTCACTGGAATAAACTGGGACAATACTGAGCAAACTGGAATTTAAATCACTCTGCTGTTATGATTATGGTCCGTATCGTCTTGCTTAGTATGCAGGAGAAAGGAACAAGTGGTCCCATTGTTTACAAAACAACTTTATACTCTTAAGCTTTTATATTTTCTGTCAACTTACGGAATGAGGGAAAAAGCAGCAGAAGCCCAACCAGGCAAAGGCTTGCAGTCAATTTTTTTTCTTTGTCCACTTTCCACTCAGTAATGATGATGATAATGATGATACTTGTGAAGCACTTAATATGTACCAGATGCACCTGGGAGTGCTTCACATGTGTGACTTCATTTAATTTTCACATAATCCATATCACCATCATCATCACCATCACCATCATCACATCCTTATTTTGTAGATTAAGAAATGACAGAGAGACAAGAAGTGGGGAGAAAGAGAGAGAGATAGAGATATGGACAGAGGAAGGAGGAAAGAGGAAAGAGTAGGAGAAGAAAGGGCAGGAAGAAGAAGAGAAAGTGGAGGAGGAAAAGGAGGAGATTGGGATCATCTGACCTAAGGCTATACAGCCAGAATCTGCCCTAAATTGAAGGCCAAAGACTGGGTCCTTAGTTAAGAAGCTCACCTCCAGACTTTCTCCAGTTCTGCAAGATTATGGTTGGACAAAACCTTTTGCTGTAGTCTCCTGCCTGACTGGACACTGCTTTATAATGAAAATAGAACGCCTTAAAATACATGAATGTACATTCTCTTCTTAAATCTTCACAACCATGTAAGGTGCTCAGTGGAAATTATTATTATTCCTATTTAATAAATGAAAAAATTGAGGATCAGAAAGAAAACTCAAGTTTTATAGAGAGAAATAAGCATAGCTAAGACTGCAACTCAGGGCTTGGCCCTGAATGTGCTTTTCATCAACTGGCAGTTATGTAAATCTGAGATCTTAGTGGATATTTCCATTTTAACTGAGATTGTCATGAAAAAGCTAAGCCTACTATGAGGTATGCTTTTTGAACAGGGGCATCTTGGCCACTATGGTCCATACATGAGAGGCAACTGGTGATGAAGAACTTCTCCAGTATCCTTCAGACCATGTGTCTTATATCACATCATTTCTCTATGAAGCCATACTAAAGACCTTGGTACAGATAAACAATCATACATTTTTTAGTTGGTGGGTCTTTGCTAGATTTACTCCAAGCCTTTGTTCAAAGGAAGTACAATATCAGGTCACCAGTGAGTGACCTGTCCACATAGCCAGAGAGGTTGTGAGGAAGAAGTGTGAATCAAGCTGCTACGGGAAAGCTTGCTCCTAAAGACACTGTGCTTCCAGCAGTGGGTTTGATGATCTGTTTCTTGTGGTGGGACACTGAAGAGTCTGAGTGAAAGGCTCTCCATGGAACAAGAGGTGATTTTAGAAGGAAGAGGAAAAATGGGGAAAATAGATAAAAAATATAGAAAGTCAAATTCAGCTTAATAAAAGATTTATTTTCTCTCATTACAATTATATTTCACTAGCTTTATCTGCTCAAGAAAGTAATGAGTTCTATATGTCTAAGAGTACACAAACAAGGGTAGATGGCTTGTTTCTACGGAGGAAATAAGTCATCTGCTGTGCATAAAAATCTCTCAGGGAGCAAGTGAAATGCGGACTACAAAGTCATATCCCAGAAATTATGATCTCCAGGAATCTGCATTTCTTAAAAGCTTCCTTGCTGATTCTAATGCAAGTAGCCCAAGCAATACTGCTGGAAATGGATTCCTGTGGAGTGTGAGACAGGATGAGGTGCAAGGCAGGGGTGAGGGATAGGGAGAAGGCTCATATGCATCCCTTCTGAGCTGAACCATATGGTTGGGTGAACTTTACTCTTTAAGTTTTTCTAATATTAATCTTCTTTTTGGATGTTTATACCTTGGTTTCCTGACAGAGAATACTTGAGTGACATATGAGGTGAGAGATCTGGGGTGTAATAATACCATGTCATGGAAACACTCATAAAGCCATGACCCCATGGCATATGAATTCTACGTGGGGTTTGCACAGGTATTAAATGTTCTGTGGTTGGCTTTTGGAAGTCTGCTCTATCCTGACACCAGGATTTCTAAGCTGGCCTGGAGGGAAGCAGGCCTGCAGCTTCCTGGTGTTTGGAGCAGATGGGGAAAGAGTCTGAAATATTCCTTGTCATCACCTGCAGCTGACAGACCACAGGCAGAGGAGGCAATGGGGGAAGTCAGACCAGTTGATTTGGGAGAAATCACAAAGGTGATGTGTTATGAATGTTTCCTTCTTTGGGTTCCTCTCCAAATGGTGTGTGTGTGTGTGTGTGTGTGTGTGTGTGTGTGTGTACACCAAACTGGGCAGCACTTGTTTCTGGCTGGAAGTGGTAATAAATCAGGGCTTACAAAACCATCACTAGCCACCTCCTGTAGGTCCAGTCAAAGGAACAGGCCTTTGAGAGCACAGCTGAGTCGGAACCCCAGTACTACAATCCCACCTCCTGGGATGAAAATCACACATCTGGGATCAAGCAGGCCAGATGTGGAAAGGGATAACACTGAAAACACACTGCTGGAAGATTACATAGCTCTCAAAAACATCAGTGTAAGGTTCAAAGGTTTTTTTTTTTAATTTATAATTTTAGTTATCACAGTAGTTTTATTTTCTGGGTAGTCAACTAATCCTTGTATCCTGATTTTCTGTTCTAGAGTGTCAGAGGATACAGAAGGATTGACCTGTTTTGAAGAAGCCATGTTCATTTCACTGGGGCAGTGACAGTAAAGATCCAGAAGAAAAGTAATTCCTGGTTGAAATCAGTTCTGGCACTTGTAAGTATATGATCCTGATCAACTTATTTTAATTTCTCTGAACTTAAGTTTTTAATCTAGAAAAATGGGGTATAACCTATCTACTTCAGTGATCTAGTATAGGGATTCGATGAAATACCACAGAGAAAGGTCCTAGATCCTAGATCAAGGCCGGCCCAAAGTAAGAACTGGTACAGAAAAGGGAAGATGAGTTCTGTTCAGTTGGTGGCAAAGGGCTTCTTGTTATCTGAGCAATGCTGGTTGGCTTCTCTTTTTCTTTGAGCCCCTGCACTCCTTCCTCTCCCTTGAGGTCTCTGATACATCCTCCCTTTCTGTGCTCCAGGTCATTTCTCTGACCCCCTCCCCACTCATAGCCTACACTGAGATGTTTTTCCTTAATGAGAACCATTCAAGGTTTATATCCAGCTAAGAAAGGCAGGTTTATATCCTGCCTTGCAGGCAGAGCATCAACACTCATTGCATTTGTGAGTTTTAAATTAAAAATTGGTCAGTCTAATGATTGTGGGGTTTCTTTCGGGGGTAAGAAAGTATCCACAACTATATAGCCTTGATAGTTGCAGAGATCTATGAGTATACTAAAGCCTACTAAATTATATACCTTAAAAGGGTGAATTTTGTGCAATATGAGTTATACCATAATAAAGCTATTATAAAAATAGGTCAGACTAGTTAGCTTTCCATTCTTCTGCTCTTATCCAGTTTTAATTAAAATTTAAATTATAATTTAATTTTAAATTCAAATTATAAATACAATTATAAAGGGCCATGACACACCATGCACCAGTTTTCACCATTTTAATCTAAGATTAAATACCACCATTGTCTCTCCAAATTCATAGTCATTTTCATTCTCTGTCTCTACTCTCTCTCTTTCTCTCTCTGTCTCCAGCTCTTCCTCTAGCACTATTACTGTGCCTGTCAAAATTTAACTCATCTTTCTAAATCTGACCCATGCAAGCTTTACTGTTTTCCATTCTCTATCCACTTATCAAACCTGCGCTAAGTATGTCCCACAAGGGACCATGATCTAAGGTGTAGAGAAGAGAGAGTGAAGGAAGAATGTAGAAAATACCATTCTTAGGGGTTGTTTCATCTGAAAGACATTCAACCCCTTCAGGACAACTCCCTAGTCTCCATCTCAACTAGGAGAGATGTCCAAGCAACTTTCCAGTCTTTTGGATCCTCCTACTCCAGTGGTTCTCAAATGACTGCCACAAAAGAAGCCTGCTTATACACCATTTCCATTTACTTCATTATCCTAACTAGAAACCCAGCTTGATTCTATAGAGTCCACTGAAGTGTTAAGAACTAGCTATCCTTCCAGCATCTCCTTATACCATGCTTACTGTACTTCAAACAAGATGTCCACAGGTTTCTGCAAAGCTTCCTTCTGGCACGTGGAATCCTTATCCCAAGATGCTCTTTTCTTGTCTCTTCCTAAAGCTAGATCTAAACATTTCTTCTCCTGGAAGGAAGACTTTCCCTAAAGAACCTTATTCTGCTTTCTGTGTTCAGCTTATGTTCATGATTTTACTCTTCCTGGTACTGTCTGTATGGCATGGACTCTATTGCCTTTTATGGCTACACAGTAAGTTGTGTACCCAACAGGTAATCAAAGAAGACTTTCTTTTTTTTTTTTTTTAAATAATGAAGTGATAATGAATTAGGTCTGCATTGCTTATGTCCATGCTAGGTATTATGAGGACCTTCTTTCCTTCCTCCTCTTTTCTCTACCTTCCTTCCCTAATCTTTGCCTCCTTTCTCCTTTGCTTGACTTGGTCATTAAAATGTGAAAGTCAGCAGGTAGCAGTGATTTAGCAGTGCAACACAGTGCTTTGTCTGCTCAGCCCCAACTCACTAAAGCCGATCTACCCATATAGTTACCACAGAGCAACCTTATTGTTCAGTGTGATCCTGGCCAGTGCCTCCGATAGGTCACCTGGAGTCTCTTCCTTAAAACTACCTGTGTCTTCCGACTCTGTATTCAAAGATTGAAATGATCTATCCTAATTTTAAAAAGTGCTATTCCTTTTAAAATTCTGTTTTCAACTACATAGTGTTAATTATTATATATTTAAAGTTTTTAGTACTGTGCTGTTTAAAAATCTCAAGCATATAAATCTAATGACATATGCTTGTTGTGTTCTTACTAAAGGCAGTGAGACTGTACAACTTTCTTTTAAAAATAGAATTCAGACAAATAAAGGCATTAAGCTAACCTAGTGGAATGGAAGATTTATTGTTTAAACTCTGAAAAGTCAGGAAATTCCACAGTGGGATTCCAAGAGAGATATTTCTAGAAATGAACATAGAAATACCTAATGTATGTCAATGTTTGCTTCATTTCCTGCCTGGTACAATAATCCTATGGATTAAGCAAAGGGATCACATTGTACAGACTGTAATTCTGCTCTTTCAAAAAGGAGATCAATAGTTAGTGGATGATAGTTGACTAAGTGACAAAGGAGTCAAATAACTTTACATTTTACATAACTTTACATAAACATTTGAGGTAACTAGCCAATAAAAGCATATTGTCTCTCTTATGAAAGGAAAAAGTGAAGGACAGAAAAATGAACTGACTTGAGTGTTCAAAATGCTCGCAGAAGACTCAAGTCATTTCTTACTCCAAAGATTGACTCTAATTTTGAAAGGTTAGCAATAAATTGCTGACTTAGTTCATGAGATTAAGAAATTGTGAGTAGAAGAAGAGGCATTGAAAGATGACTCTAAAACAAAGTTACATAAAAATCTCATACAAAGTAATTGTAAGGCAAGTGAGAGTCTATAGGCCTAGCCTGGTGATGGCAAACCTTTGGAGCTCTTAGTAACAACAAATACTCACTGAAGCACATGTGCTACAGGTTTGCCACTGGCCTAGCCTGATTCATTTCAGGCACTGGCAGAATTAAGTTTGTTTTCATAACTGTGTCACTTAGCTACTGTGCTCTCCATCTACTCTGTGATAAAAAGTCCTTGGAATTCTATAAGCCAATTCAGAGCAAAAGGTTTCACATATTCCTTTCTTTTTTAATTTGTACTTATTTTAAACAACACAGCTTTCTATACATAGTATCTTCTTTTCATTAAGGTGAGATGCTTGGTTGATGATTCATATTTTCTCTAGAAATGGTACCTGCATATTCCAGAGGTCAATTTAATTTCTTTCTATGAACACATAATTATATATCAGTGTGCATCCTTCTGCTTTGACCACTTGCTCTAAATTTTCTTTTCCTGATCTGATCCACACATGCTAATGTGCATTGGGATGACTGGCTTGAGTTCTTCCTCTGAAGGTATTTTTTTTTTGTTTGTTTGTTTTTTTGTATTTTTCTTTTTTATCAGTACCGGGGATTGAACTCACGACTGTCTGCTTGCAAGGCAGGCCCTTATGCCACTGAACTAAATCCCCAGCCCCCCTCCGAAGGTATTTTATGAACTTTTGTACCTGTCATTCACATTCTGCCTAGTGCATCCTCTCCATCTCTTCACTTTTCTGCTTTCTAAAGAGTGAACTCACTTTCGGAGACTAATGCTGTATGAGCAGTCTTCATGCTGATTCTAGGGATTTTAATTTCCTAACATTTCCCTTTAGACCCTTCCTAACATCCTCTTTTCAAAATGAAAATCCTTTCTTGGAGTTAGTCAGAGGTTTTATAAGGCCTCCTGTGTGAACTCCCTTGACAGGTCTCACATGCTTCAGGTGGTACATGCTCAGGCAAACGCTGCATAGACAGTAAAGCAGAGGGTTCTAAGAATATTTCTGCCAACATATAGAAGGGCTCAGTGGTGTGCTGAGCAGCTGTGGGGTGTGGTACATGAGACAAGGATAAATGGATTAGGAGATCTCTGAGATCCTTAGTATGACATTCTAGGGAAAAGCACAGAAGGCAGCATGGTACTGTATAGGATATAGCTAAAGAGGCACTAGCTTTGAGACAACAGATGGGCGTAACCTTGGGCCAGTTACTTACCCTTATGTTCCTCAATCATAGCAAGATGATAACTCACAGGCATTACTGTGAGAATTCACTAGTGCAGTGGTACATATTAGACTTTCAATAAATGTCATTTCATTATTTGTTGTTACTATTATTTTAAAATGTAATAGCAGCACTTACTGTTAAGACTCTTAAGTCAGCTACATGAACTCTAGAAATAATTTCTTTCTTTTATTTTGATTCTGATATGTGCAGCCATTTATTTCCCCTTGTGAGGGTGTGCCATTCTTGGAGGTTCAGCAATACCAGGTCAATTCATCCATAGTTTATGGATCTCCATTTTCTGCAGGGAATCACCCTACTCTTGTAAATGGTAGATCTTAGGCAGAAGACAGCTGAACTGGAGTGTTGAGAAAAACAGAAATAGGTAAAAATTCACTGATTGCAACAGATGCTCAAATAAGTAGTCACTTGTCTGAAGGCAAACAGTGAATCTGTAGTAGTAGCAATCATAATGATGGTAAATATTTAATATTTACCAAATGTATATTATGTGCCAAGCACTGTAACAAGTGTTTTATATTATTTCAATTAATCCTCAAAATAGCCTTATACTATAGATCCTATCATTACTCCTATTTTATGAATACAGAAATACAAGCTGAGAGAGATGAGAAAGTTGCTTGAAGTCACACTGCTAGTGCAAGAATGGAATGAGATCTTCTGTCCTCTGCTTCCAGTCTAATATTTCTCTAATAATAGCATAACGTTATACAATTCATGATTTTCTTCCTCTCAGTCCTTGAGTACTGAAAGCCTTAGTTCATCATAGCTTCCAATTGGAGAACATACTGCTTAATCTTTTCTTGTCATTCATCTGATAAAGATAAGAGGTAATATTTGTAAGTAATTACCTTTTGGAATTTCACCCAGTTAGAATTTTCATATGCTAACACATAATTCAGGTGTTTACTTTTGGTATTTAGATGAAAATTAAAATTGATTCTTAAACTTCCAAGAGGAATGAAACCCCTGCTTAACACCCTACTGGAGCAAATATATTTAAAGATTAAAAAGTGATCAGTTTATGATACCACAGATAAAAGCTAAAGTACGTTAAAATAACCAAAAGTGTCATGGAAGAGCACAAATCATCAGGGAAACACTAAAAATTCTGCTATATGAGAAAGTGGATTATTTTTACAATAGGGAGTAGTGAGGCTAGAGGGAGGGAAAGGACTAAGTCTTTGAAGGCCCCTCAGCCACAGAATGAAATCAACTGAAGACCACAGAAATATAAAAAGCAACTCAATTTGGTTTATAATATACATTTTTTGAGAAGCAGAAAATGATGGGCTCATCTGCTTCTTCAATTACTAACAGGAAACATGAAACTATTCAATAAATGAATGCACCAAACACTGTAATAAAAATTACTTCAGGCCCAAGTTACAGTCACTGAAAGGGGAAAAGGAGAAGTGAGGAGGGAGGGAGGGTAGGAGAGAAGAGCGGAAGCTCAGCAGGGTCCCCACGCCTCTCCATCTGTCACTGTCAGACTCTATCCTGTTTCTGCCTCTGTGCAGCTTAAATTTTTTCCAGTACCTTTTGTTTCAACTTTTCTTCTCCTCCCCATAACCTCTCCCCAGTACAGCATTCGGCTGTATTCCCAGCCCTTTTCTATTTTTATTTTGAGACAAGTTCTCACTTAATCACTAAATTGCTCATACTGAGCTCAAAAGTTTGATCTTCCTGCCTCAGGCTCCAAGAGTGCTGGATAGCAGGTAGGTATACGCCACCACATCTGGCTCATACTAACTTCCTCCTAAGACAAAGCCAAATTTATTAGTTACTGTTGAAAAAAAAAAAAAAAACAACCTTTACAAAGTTTTAGCAACACAAGGGCAAGGGCAAGCTTTTATGGAGGCATTTTGAGAGTGTTATATATAGTGGGTCATTTAATGTGGGGACATGCTCAGGACTGAGTAAATATGATGATATAGTAGTTCAGGACACAACAGCTAGAATTCTGAGGTAAAGCTTTCAAGGAGCCTCAGAGAATCAGCAACCAATATTGTCTATTGAAAACCTGAGCAACCTTATATGCACATAAATGAAGTTTCAGGAAGTTTCTGAAACAATAAGATCCCAAATTGTGTCTTCCTGGGTGAGAGCTTCCAGAAGTAGTAAAATGTTGATAAAGACAAGGAAGTGATAAAAACTAGTAAACCATTTGTATGTTGATTTTTTTCTACTCTCAGAAAATTATTATAGCTAATTGTGTGGGGTTGCTGACAAAAGAATTAAAGGTTTGGGCCTGGGGATTTATCTCAATGGCATAAGCACCTGCCTTGCAAGCACTCAGTAGTGAGTTCAATCCCCAATACTAACAAGAAAAAAGAAAAAAAAAAAAGAAATAAAGGTTTAACTGTGTTGATTTTGAATTTCAGAGATGAAGAGAAGAAAGCAAGAATATAATTTTATCATATTGGGAGAAAAAAGAGGAAACAGAAAGTGAACACTGTTAAGAGCTAACTCCTCATTTTTCATATCAGAAAATCGGGACTTATTTCTAAATGTAGTAATCAAGCAATAGCAATACGTTTGGGAAGAGAGGAAACATTCTTCATTATAAGCCTTTTCATATTTTTTTTAGCCATGTGAATGTATTACTTTGACAAATGAATGAAAAAAAAACCAATAAAGAAGAAAGAGCTGATAAGCAATCGAAAAGTCAGTAGAAAGTCCATAGAGAGTAAGAGATATGACTCAAGAGAGTGTTTTTTTTCTGATCCTGCCAGTGTTTGCAGAGATGTGGGGGGCAGAGGGGAGAGGTTAATGTGATGGTAATTCTGAATTACTACTGAACAACTGTGGTAGTTCAACCGAAATCCCATTGAAACCTCTTTTTCTTTACTACCTGAGAAACAGTGGTGTACTGAGCCCTGATCCTCATGCTGGGGTCTCTTTGGTATTGACATTAAAATTTAAATCCTAAATTAGGCCTGGCTCTGATTTTCTTTCTTTCTTTCTTCTTTTTTTCTTTAAGGTCTCTGAATGCTAATTTTCTTTTACATCATAGGATTAAGAAATCTTTAGGAATCCTTTGGTCACCTGCTTATTAGAAAAGCTTTTATCCTTGGTGATTATCTGCCGTACTATTTAATCTTTGTTTCTGTCTTTGCCATTTCTTGTTGCAAACAGGGAAAGTTTACAGTTGAAGACCTAACTGAAGATATAGTTCCTCAATTGGCACTGAGGACAAAGAATTTCTGAAAGTTTCGTCTTAACCAACATTCTTTGGACAAAGTACCTAAGCTTGATTAGAATTAGATTAGAACTTGATTACTCTCTTTACACTTTCTGTCCCACAGGAACTGCAGGTCACTGAGTTTTCCACTGGAGACCGTCTAGCCATCTGGAGGGGAATGCAAGTCATGAGGTGCACAGTGATACCTAAAACCAACTATTTTCATGCTCTCATGGGTTTGTCTCAATCTAAATCCAATAGTTTGACCTTTCTGCCCCACCCTCATTCTTCACACATATACTAAAGAAATTTCAAATGCATGCCCTTACTTTCTGAATGGCATAATTGCACCAAGGATAATTTCGAATGACAGAATTATTTCTTTTGAGAACCACCTAACAATGAAAAATAGCAGTATCAAATAACCTGCAGTTTTTTATTGGTAAAAGAAAAAGGTCCAAAGCAACTTCAGATTCTGAAATTGTTTAAGAGATTGGCCAAGAAACAGGGAAAACTGTGAAACACTTACAGCTGTCTGTCACTCAGATGGTGCCTCCTCATCCTCACACGAATGACCTTCATATTCTGCTCCTTCTCCTTGTAACCTGTGCTCTTCCACTACTCTCTATTTCTGTTTTCTCTTTCAGACCTATTTTTTTCTCCTAGTTGGAACTCTAAGAACTCAATTACTTCTAAATGTTAAACTACTTTTAGAAAAAGAAAAACAACAACAAAAACAACCTCCCCAAAACAAAACAACAAGCTAGAAAACCTCCTTTAAATTCTTGATCTTATTCAGAGCTGAGAGCCATTAAAAAGATTTTCCAAAGTCTAGACTAGATGAATTTAAAGTAGTTTTAATTATGTGTATTGTGGAGCTCCCAAATCTGTACCCAAGTTCTGGGAATCTCATATACAAGAAAAAATGGACGGAGAAGGTAGAATGAGAAGATGTTAAGGGCGATTTAAAAGACTCAGAGTTATGTCAGAAGCTCTGATCCAGTCATAAAATAAAGGGTGAGTGCATCTGAGACTTCAAAGATTAAGTCTTTAATGCTTTTTGACAGCATTCAGGACTAGATCGTGAGGCAGAGGTGACTCCAGTTCTCTCCTTACTTTTTGTGAATGGCTTTAAAATACAAACGGGAGTCTTATTAAATGACAAGCACAATCTAGAATGATAAAGTTTTATTGCAAGACCTCCAACATCTCACTGGATGTTAAAAAAAAGTCTTAGAATGAAAACAATAAAAATTGGATGTGTAGTGATTTCTGATGCTGTGCTAATCTGTATGTTGGACTTTTGCCTCACTGATGACATCCGACTACACTTGTAAGAGGAGGCCATTGTTGTTTCATCTTTTCCTCTATCCCTCCTTCCACCTTCTACTTCACAGCTCCATTTTACTTTTATATTTTCTCAAGGCTTGTAATATTTACAATCTATTCTGTAATGTTATGTTTCTACTTTGGAACCAGAATCCCCTAAAACTGTAAATCCAGTTAAATCTCTCCTTTTAATTGTGGGTGTTGGGTACTGTGTCTCAGCAATAGGAAAGCTTACTTATACATGGTCCTTTGGAAACAGTAAGAGTAAGCATATATCTAAGATTTTGGCTGACGAGGTGTTTTTTGATTTAAGTCCAGGTGAGTGCAGCTGTGAGTGGATCTCCTTTCCTCAACTTTCTCATTTTCTGTGGTTGAGAATTTCCAGGAATGAGAAGGAAGGCCTAGAGAATAGATCTTATTTTATTTATTTATTTAGGTCTTTTTTCATTTTTATCGGTACCAGGGATCGAACTCACGACTGCCTGCTTGCAAGGCAGGCGCTTATGCCGCTGAACTAAATCCCCAGCCTAAAGAGAATAGATCTTATGATGCTTTCTCCTATGGACTAAGACAGTCTCTCACCCTGAACAACTTTTTGAAGAAATAAGCATTGTGCAGGGTACTGACTTTCCTAACATTGTTTTCTAGTGCCTAATCAACCAGAGTTAACTGTGGCCTATGATAATCAATTAAGCCTTAAAGATGAAGACGGGGAAAAATTATACAATAATAGTTACTTAGAATCCTTACATATAGAGCAGATAAAAAGATTTTTTAGATAGGCGTTCCAATTTGTTTGAACTTTAAGTCTGGGAACCTGTTCTACTGAAATCAGGTAATGACTCATAAGCTGACAATGACTCAGAAATTTTCTGTTACTTAGTGTGTATATAAAGTGGTCAGTAAACACTGAATACAATGGAGGACAATGGAGGTCAGAAATGATTTATCGATATTTGTAATCTATTACTTTAGAAGAAAAATTGAATGAAGGAAGATGAAATATGGAAGGAAAAAAGGCGAAAAAGAGAGGGCAGGCAGGCAAGAGGCAAGGATCAAGGATGAGATGGATGGATTGCTGGGATATTTTAGTTCTGAGACAACGTAGATCTATAATATACAAGATGTGATAAAAATATGATGAATGTGTGAATTTAAAAAATTATTATAGTAATAGATACATTGCCATTATTACCTCTCAAAGTACTAAAAATATTCCCTCTCACTGTGCTCATCCTTATTCCATTGTTCTTGGATGTGTGTCTCTTACTGTAGTAACTGTTTTAAAAAATGTAAACCTTCATGATAGATTTTGATCACTCCTTATATGAACAAGACATAGAAGTCTTTAGAATTCTTACTGACTCACAATATAGGGTTGATTGAACCTATTTTCTTTCTGTGCTTCTCCTAAATTTCATTTTTGTTGACAGTTTAAATCCACACAGTTATCACAAGCTGCAGTTTCAAATGTTTTTATAGAATGATATTGCTAAAATTATTTGCTTTTTATTATTTCCATTAAAGACTATTGACCTTTTATATTAAAATGTTTTGAACATTTAAAAATAAAGCTTGTGATCAAGGTATTGTGGTGTGTGTCTGTGATTCTAGATAACATGTGAGTTTGAGGTAGGAGGATTGTTTGAGCCTGGGAGTTTGAGAGCAACCTGAGTAACACAGTATGATATTGTCTCAAAAAAAAAAAAAAAAAGAAAGAAAGAAAGAAAATTGTGGTGGGTGTCCCAAAAGTTCAGTATATGACTATAAGTAGTTTGTAAATGTTAATCTTTTTAATAAACAAAAGTAATTTTTACCTTGAATAATCTATTTTAACTTATTACAACTTAGGGTGGACATTAGATCTTCACTAAGCCTAGAGATTTAAAAAATTAATCTTTTAATTCCAGGGCTAGGATCATAAAACTGACTAATATAAAATTTAGATTCAATTAATATACTTTTAAAATTTATGTTAAAGTATTTGAGAGACAGTAACTATAGCTGCTAGACTATATTGGTCACTATGGATTCAGTAAATTTACACAAATTTAGGCAAAAGCTTAAGATCAATGATGTCTTACATAAAGAGTGGTGGGAGCAGTGCACCCTAGGTACAGGCATTGAAGGGGATACAGTGACTATTGAGATTCCTAAGCAATAATAAAACTCAGTAAAATTGTCTGCTTTTTATTATCACCATGTGCCAACAACTCTAAACATTACTAGTGATAAAATACTCCTCCCTGAAAAAGTCTTTTGTTGGTCTAATTTCTAAACCACCCCTGTGGTTCCTGTTGAGTTTTAATAATATATGTGTAAGCTTCAAATTAGCACATCTAAATTTTTTTCCTTTAGTAAACATTTTTTCTACATAGAAGTTAATTCCAGCAACTCTCAATTACTCAGTTGTCCCTTGCACACATGTTCCTTGTGAAAATAAGTCAGTAACAGTGTGTGCTGCTTTGCACAGTGCAAACTGTCTTCTACCCAAGACTTCACAACTTCACATCTTCAACCCATATGAAACTATATATTTCTGCATGTAAGCAGAGGGTTCTCAATAAACAATGACTGCGTGGTTGTCTCAAAGAAAGTACCACTGCACTTACTGCAGGAGTAGAATTAATTCCCTCATATTACCACCTGAAAATTTTGTGTTGAAAACATGATCGGTAGAATAGAATACAGCTGTGACATATACTAAACTATTTTACTGAATTTGAGTAATACATTTAAATAGGAATGCATATGCTCCTTTAAATTCCCAATTGTTTTAATATTGTAAGAGTAATCAAGAAAATGTTATTATTGGTTATCATTACAAATAATTTTCCTATATTGAGGAAAGGGTATTAAAGAATGATTACCCCCTGGATGTCAAAAGCACCAAACATGCACATGTATGACGGCTGTTTGGGAGGGCAAGGACAGGCGATGCGGTGAAGCAGGTGAGGTGGCACCAGTGTGTCAGCTCCCTTTGTTTCTCCCCTCTCTGTCCTGGTGTCTGAAATTTTGCTCTCAGCAGTCAACTGACGAATTATGTTACAGCATGACCATCACTAAAGAATATTTACGTTTTGTGGGAGCCTTTAAAAAAAGTTTCATAGAGAGGTAGTTCATTTATAATTTAATTCATTCATTGTAAGGGTATGATTAAATGGTTTTTAATACTGAAGAAAACTGTACAACCATCACTGTCTTGGTTACTTTTCTCTTGTTGCTGATACAAAATACCCGACACCCGAAATTAAGGAAGGAAAGATTTATTTATCTTAGTTTGTAGAGGGTTCAGCCCATACTCAGTTGGCTGCAAGGTAGGGTGGCGTGGCACAGGGTCAACATTTCAAGGCAGTAGCCAGCAAAAGCAGCCAGAGCAAAAGGCGGGAGAACAAGTGTCTTCTTAACCCTAACATTGTACACAGGCCACTGCCCCTTGCAGGGTGGGTGTAGCACTCACAAAATCTCCTTGTCCTCTTCTTGCACAGAATGAGAAACTTTATAAAGTAAAAACCCTGGCTCCCTGCTGAGTCTTTTACATTTCTAAATTGTTCAAGTTGACACAATGTATCAACCATAACAATCACCAAAATCAATTGTAGAAAATTTTTATCATGTAGGAAATAACCTTCGCAACATACATCCCTATTGTAGCACACATCAGTGATTTTTCCTTTTCTTGCCAAATAATATTCCATTGCATGGTCAAACCACTTCTTATATTATAGTTGATGGACACTTTGCTCACTTCTGTCTTTTAGCAATCTTGGACAGAGTTGCTATGAATATTCACATATAAACTTTTGTGTGGTTACATATTTTTAATACTCTTGAGAATGTATCTAGCATTGGAAATGTTGAAGCATGTGATATATGTGTATAACTATTTATTTATTGTTTGTTTGTTTGTTTCTACATTTGTTTGTTGAGACAGGATTTCACTTTCTAGTGCAGCAGGCCTTGAACTCACTATGTAGCCCAAGTTGGCCTCGGACTCACAATTTTTCTGCCTTGGCTTCCCAATGGCTGGGATTACAGGTATGCACCACCAGCTTAATGTGTAACTAAAAAAAAAAAACCCATGAGACTGTCTCCCACAGTGGCTGCACCATTTTATTATCCCATGACCTCTATAGAAAGGTTCCAGTCACTCCACTTGACAGAAGCATTTGAATAGAGGGAAGAGGAAAAAGAGAATGAAGGGCATAAACATTTGCTCCAAAATCTGTGCACTTTTCAGTGTGATACCATGAACCTTCACACTGTAACTGTGTTGGAGGAAAAAAATGGGTGGGTGGTAAGCACTAAAACACAAAATAGGAGAATGGCAAGATTAAAAGAGGTAAGGACATAGTCCATCAAACTGAGACTTTCCCTTTTGTTTTATAAGTAGAGTGAAAAGAGGCTTTGCTATGTCATAATGTGCTACATTTCTCCTATAGAAGTCACAGCAAGCCTAGGTTCTGAGCTCCTTTCAGTCTGTGGTATAAAGCCTACACTTTGGAAACGTAGGTGCAGAGGAACAATGGTGGATTTTTGGGCCACATTTTTCAAAATTGAGAACTGTTATTTAAAAATTTGACTTCAGACAGGTCCTTTATACTCTGTGAGTTTCACTTTTGTTTTTCAGGCAGATAAGCTCTATCTTAAGGAATATTTGGAGGATTTGAGATAATACATTTATAAAATGGGTACCATATTGTAGGACTTAATAGTAGGTTATATACTCTTTAACATTATCATCATATTTCAAGCCATGGACTATATATGATTCCCTTTGCAAAAGTACCATGTCCCTGAAAGTTCACAACAATGAATATAATTACATTTGATAGAATAAGTTGTTTATGTTGTCTTTGTTATCGTTTGGTGAATTCTTTTTGAAGAGCTTTTCTGCCCAGCAAAGCATATTTTGATGGAAAGCCTACTGTGTTCAGAGTTTTTGAGTAATATTGTAATTTGGAAAGCATCTATAAATTTATTCATTAAGAGATTGAGCACTCAAGCAAATTATGGCCACACCAATGGAAAAAATGCTCAACAGCCTCGCATATGCTGAAGAGAGCAGCTGTTGTAGTTTTCTACTGTAAATTAAGAGACACTTATGGCCAGAGAATTTTCCACTTTGTTCCTAGCATGTTCTTGTCTCCCACAGCTGTTCCTTCCCACCCCTCTTGATACACCGCAAAATGCCCAAATAATGGATGCTAAATCTTGAGTGCCATTCCTTTGTCTTCTGAGAACTGTTTCGATTCAACAGCTCCTGAAACTAACTGAACTTCAGCTAACCTCTCCTGGTCAGCCTTTAAAAGCTTTTGCCCTCCTCTGGAACTTTCTCTTGCCTGGTATTTTTAATTAAAGCCCATGCTAACATGCTCTGGTTGATTTTTTCACTGCATAAGACAGTAAAGTGTAATGAGAATGGTATTTAATGCTTTAATGTTAAAAATTTTTATTACAAATTATTTCATTGAAACAAAAGAATAATTTTAATTTGCCGTCACTAATTGTAGCTTTTATTCTTTATAAATCTTGCTGCTCTTTGGCTTTTTATATATTGAATGAAAGACATTCAAACTTCTGAATGTCTGATGCCACTGAGAACAAAAAGGTCAGTGCTCTGTTTTTAGTTTCAAATTAGTCTTTAAAACTAAGGTAAAGTCTTAGAAAATATATTTTATTAAGTCTCCACATCCCCAAGATTCTGAAAGCCTTTTGTAACATAGCAAAACTTAAAGGTCTCACCATGTTTCACTAGAAACCATATGGTACAGAGGACCCTGGATATGAGATAAGGGAGGTTTTTGGTGGAATAGACCAGGGTGAGGAAGTTGCCTGGCTGACAGAAAAGAGACCCAGTGTTTCCTAGAGCTCAGACCAAAGAGAAGGAGACATAAAAGAACAGCATACATGTGCCCACTTCTTATATGGATCTCTGCAGGGAGACTTCACATGCCAATCTAGGAGAGCTACACTGGCACAGAAATGGTGATTCTCATCATGTGATATTGCAAAGAGAAGGCCCAAGTCAGTGCTTTCATTCTGTTATGGTCTTTGCTTGACTGTAGAAGCTCCACAAATTCCCATATTGTCTGTGAGGCCACAGGGAACTGGTGAAGGGACTGGTGTTCTGGAAGAATGTTGGTGACAGTACAGGAGGTCCAGAGTATGGAGGTCAGTATAAAGCATTGGTAGTCTGTGTGCTCAGTAGCAAGGCCAATATGAAGTCAAAAAGACTGAAAGTAAACAGTCAGTAAACATCAGGTAGGAGAGTGGGTGACTCAGTGAAAGTCACTGAGTAACCGATAGCAGCACAGGAACCAATAAGCCCCTCTCCAGAGCCCGCGCATCACATGAATATCCCAGATAGCGTCTATGAAGGAAAACAAAAACGTGAAAGCAACCAAATATAAAGTCTGAGACATTGCCAAGAAGAGAAGATTGAGCTACTTTTAACTAGAATATTTTTGCTGCAATTTTATTATTCCCAAGCAGGGTTAGGAGTTGAAGAGAGAGAAGTTTATAAAATTTGTTTTTTAAATAACTCAATTATAGGGTATGAG